CAGATAAAATTTCATAGTTAAATTGTTTATTTTTGATGTGGATCGCAGTGTGCAATTCGTTCATTTAATTGTGGGAATTTCTGAGTTAAGTTCGTTCATTGACCGGATATGGAATATGGCTGTGGAAAATATTCTAGAACATCGTTTTTTTATTTATGCCTTTATGTGAGTTGGACTAGAGTAGATATATAGTTCTCTATCTATATCCTGGAGGGAGATTTCCGGTTGAAATCTGATTTTGTGAAGGAAATCGAATCCTTGCATCACTTCTTGTGTATCCACCGACCGGGTATCGTCGTGAAAAACTGGCTGCCGTTTTGTGAAGCATTCCCTGTTGGTAGTTAACAGGTCTTCCTAGAGAAGGATTAAGGCTTCCGAAGCACATTTGGTCAGAGACGTGGTTGGATTTTGTTGATTTGTATTGACCGCCGACCAATTTCCGCAATGGGATTAAAATAGCCAAATTTTCCGACCGATATTCCGATTCCACGTGTCCAAGAAGTCCCCGAGTAGAGTTCCAAGAGCAAGAAGACCGATCCAGACCGTAGCACAAAACAGTTCAGAATTCCATCCGTTCCTGTTGTCCGTGTAGAGGTACCCGTTGGACATCATAAACCCTCGTTGAGGGTTTTTTATGTTCACCGAATGAAATCTCAACAACTTGCCTTTCCTCCGCACGTCTGCTGTCAATTGTGGGCTCCAATGACACCGAGCTGCTGTACACACTGCCGCAGCAACCCTGTAGCTATACGCCGCCGCCGTAGCTCAGCCAGAGAAGTTTTCAAGTATATCACATCGAGTAGAGTAAGACAGTTTAGATATTAGTTAGGTTTAGATTTGCTATTTGTATTCCGCCCTTAGAACATACTTAGTTTAAGTTAAGCGGGATGACGTCTTAGTTTCAGTATAGCTTAGACCATTTTCATTTTTCATTTATTCTTATCGATTTAAACTTTACTTCATTTCATATACATTTCATCATTTTCTTTATACATTTAACCTTTTTGATATTTCAATAAATTGCTTATATATTTTTAGTAGTCTTATTTGCAGTCTAGGCTCATAGTTAAGTTAGAGTCACTTAAGTTTAAATAATTATAGTAACATTTGAAGTTCATGGTAGTTACACTCAACAGTTCGAGGTTAGCGTTAAAGTCTACTTAATAGTAACATCTTTTATGCCGAGTTCATAGATTATAATCTCGTGGCGCCCTTTTATTAAGATCTTTGAACCCCGACCACCCGGCTGTTAAAATTAAAAGCTAGTGGCCTCTATGCAATTCATTACCGATTAAGTAAACTTGTGTTTTATTGAACTTCAAATTAGAAAAGTACGCGGCAAAGTCGCTTCTAAAGCCTGCTTGGTCTGGTGGTTGTGCAGCCTCTAGCTTGTTTTATATTCTCACTTATATTTTGTTTAATACTATATCTGTCATGACTTGTGTTGTACACTCTGTATTTGTATATACCGTTCTTCTTTATATGCCATGTACTATCTTTATGTAAAAGTGTTGATGGAATCTGTTAAGCGATACGAAATATGTAATTAAAGAGGATATATTGCATATCCCTTAAATTGCAAAACACTACAATATAGTAAATTATGCTTTGGTGGCTACTACTATAAATATAGAAAACTATACAAAAAAGAGGTACTTTTTGATGTCGGCGTTGGGATTAACAATCTGCATATTACTCATCCCTAATTATACTGAAAAAAAGAAAATGTATAGGTATGTAGATGAAAACACCCGCGCATTACCAACCAAGGCAGTTAAAGAAAGGAAAAAAATAAAATAATAAAAGTGATATTGATCTCGGAACAGTTGTTACGTGTACGGCAGTAGTGAAATTTGCCCGATTATATTCTCACGCCGCCACAACGACTTGGAGAGTTTAAACTAATAAATTCTTTGTATGCAAAAAGCGGGCTGATTACATTGTTTTTGCGGCAATCCTCTGTTTTATGACGCCTTTCCTGGCATTTCGACCGAAAATAATTAGAATAAAAGTAAAAAATTGTGAGGTACTATAAGGATTTCATAGGCCTTTTTTATGCTAGATAAAATTGTCTTGCAAAACTTTACTGGATGTAGTAAAATAATCATGTTTGATAACATACAGGTTATAAATTATAAGTAAAAATAGTTTTTCTACTAGATCGTGCAAAACGTAGCTATTTTTCACTCTACCTACTGGGGTAAAGTTTATTTTTACTTAAAATCACTTATAAAAAAAACAACAGAACATTCAGTATATAGAAGCCTCCCCAAACACAAAATCATAAAAATGTCTCTGCGGAAATGCATCTCATTCTCTTTTTTCCGACTCTAGAATAACTGAAATCAGTTATATGAAAACGCGTTCCTGCTTTACATTCTAAACACTTTTCTTGTGTAGGTATGAACTTAACCTAGTAGATGCTGTAATTTAGACATCAATACCGTACTGAGAAAAAAACGAAAATAAACAAAAATGTAGCAACAAACCAAATGAAATGCCGAGTACTGTTCAAATCTTGCTATATTTTACAATATTTTATCAATAAATGAAAATGGTACACTTCCGCAAGAAGATTTTTTGTGTGCCTATGTTTAGAAAAATTTCTAGAATGAAAAACAGAAACGTGTTGTCATGTAACTGGTTTCAGCTATTCTAAGAGTTCTTTCAGACGAGGATACTGTATGCGAGATTCTGTATACGGGATAAAGAATTACAGTCGAATACTATCGATATACTCTTTTGGCATACTTTTTTTAGGTACAAAATAATATTCTAGTTTAAAACAAATTTCAGTGCGGTGCAGTCGTATTATTGTATTATAAAATGAATATTGAAGAGTACGTTCTGCTGTGGCATATATCGTCTCCCATAGGCAATTCATCACAACCAAGCTTATAAATTTTTCATTATCGAAAGCGTCACAATCCATGGTTCTCTTCTTTATTGTTCGAACTCACTCTCACTACTGAATTATTATTTTCAGCGTTGTTACAAGGGCAAACATTTTTGTACTATAAGTGGTGTCGAAATTGTACTTTTTTAAGTGGGATTGTACATTTTTGGTGGAAAAAATTGTGAAGTGGCGACATCTCGTATTAAAAATTTGAAACTTTAATAGAGGTAACAAAAACAAATGGGTAACAACAAAGTCAGAGTTATGGTTTGGATATTGATTTATTTTGTTTTTATAATTATTAAGTTTTTTTTAAACTTTACCTATAGATTGATGCAGATTAGTAATAATTTAACAAACGAACAATTTTTTAAATACATTTTATTTAGTAAGTCGTGAAATAATACAAAAAACAAAAAATAACTAGCGTTAAAAACGTATGACAAAAGTTATAACCAAAGTAAAAAACCCAGTCTGATTCAACATCCCAAATAATAAAAACAGTACATATTTACTAAAAGTAATAGCTTATTAACATGAAATAACCTTAATAATAATGATATTTATTATTAAGGTGAATATAATATAATATTTGTAACAAAGATACAAATATAAAAAAAAAAACATTAAAAGCTAAGAAACAATGGTTATAACTAAATTAGTAAAAGAAAACAAACAGTCTTGCATTATAATATCACAAAAACAAATAACTAAAATAACAAAAAAAATAGAACTTTTTTTATAATAAAGCTAAAAACAGTTACCTAAATAAGTATAACTAAATAAGTAAAAAAAAAACAAACACCGTCCTTGCATTATAAAACATCACAAAAAAGTAGGAACTATATAAAAAATAAATCTTGTAGGTATACAATTATTTCTATTCTACTATCACATTTTCTACAAATTGACTAGTATACGTTAGAAGTTTAGAATTAGGCTTCCAATTTATAGCCCCATTTTCATAGTTTTTCATCTTATCTTTAATATGGAGCAATGCAGCACACGTTGGTATTAATAACCTATTTTTGGTAGATGTTTTCATTAAAGATAATTGAGAAAACACTCTTTCAGCAGTGGCTGATGAGTGTGGAAGTGACAATATTATTTTAATAATTATCATTAAATTTGCAAACATTAAGTGCCCTAGAGAATTTTTCTGATCTGAGACAGATATACATTAATGTCATCATTCTCCAGAATATATTAATGTCATCATTTTCTAAATTACTAATGTTTATCTCACTAAGAAGCTGCCATTCGGCATTGGCTGCCTCTATATCTATCTCAATTTGTGGAAAGAAATTAATAAAATTGGCAATAGATATTACTTTGCCAGATAGAGCTATATTTGGCGTAAAATTCGACGCATATATTAATATTGAGTCGTCGAATTTAAAGCGATTTTTGATTTGTTTGCAGAGTTCCAAATAAAAATCTAAAACTCTTAACCGAAAATTATGAAGCCCTTCATTACTTACAGTTAGATGCTCTGAATTGACCAAAGCATCCACCTTAGCCCCTGCAAATAAATCATCCAGAGAAGCGTAATTTGCCGGATCATTTAGATTTATATTTTGAATTAATGTATTATCAATAACATTTTTTTTATAAAACACTTTAATAAGGTTTTATACAGTGCAGAAATTCTATTTAACAAAATTGGTAATTTTGGACTTTCTGACTGTAATTCAATATTTACCTTATTTGTAAGGTCTAAAACGTACCCTAAAAATAAAAAATATAGTTTAAATTCTTGGTTAATTAGAGCATTTAAAATACTTTTAGCACTGGGCAGATTATCTTCCAAGACTGCTCTTTGGAAGAATAGTGTCAATGAATTCCAATGCTCTAATATTCGATCAACAACACTCTGAAATAAACAACAAAAAAAAACAGTTATTTAGATTGATTAAAATTTATAGATTTAAATAAAATTTTGTAAAAATTAAATAGCATTGTTTTAAATAATAATAATTTTAAAATGACCTTATTTTAAAAGTGCAGAAAACAATTATAAAAACTACCAGTTAAAATTATAATCACTACCTTCAAAGATAACCATCGAGTTTGGCTGGGATACAGCATCTTATGTGGCTTTTCATTAGCAAATATCTGGCACTCCCTTAAGCTCAGATAGTCGCTTATTACTATGAGCAAAATAAGCGTATATATCCCTAGTGAATTGTTCCACATTGTTGGGGAGATTTTTTGCAGCAGCCGAAGTACAGAGATGAAGGGAATGACAAGTACATCCTTGCACATAAATATGTGGTAAAATTTCTTTCAATCTTGCTTGGACACCTTTTACAGTTCCCATCATAGTGCTCGCATTGTCGGACCCAAAGCCAATAATATTTTCGAAAGGTATATTATTCACACTTAAAATATTTTTAATTATATTGAAAAGTGCCTCACTTGTTGCATCTTCAACTGCTACTAGATCAAAAAACTGATCTTGGACTCTCCCTTCCTTCCAATATCTAACCACAATAACCAAAGATTTTTTTGAACTCACATCAGTGGTCTCATCAATTATTATAGAAAATTTCTCTAATTTTAAATCCATTACTATTTCTGCTTTAAAAGCTGGCCCCAATATTCCAGTGATAAGTTTAGTTGCCTTTAATCTTTTTATTTTAAGATTTTTGGCAATATTAGAATCTGGATACAGCTCTTTATTTAATAATGGAAGGGTATCCATTAGTAGCATTGGTAAATTTTTGTCTGCTATATAGCAACATAGTTTCAATTCAGCTGCTTTCACATCATCATACTTCTTTTGTTGCATTGTTTCTTTATATGTTTTTCTTAAATATAAAAAAAAAAATAATTTAATAATAATTAAATTATTTTTTTTTCTTTATATGTTTTTCTTTATATGAGTAGCTTGATTGTCATGTCGGCTTAAATGATATTTGTTGCCAGTTAATTTCACATTGCAACATTTACAAAATAAATATTCTTTGGTTGCATCAAGCCATAAAAATATTTCTGATAATTTTTTAATGTTAGGAGTAGATGACGAACGTTTAAGTTTTTTTTGTGCTGTTGATTCAGATTCAGAGACAATATCATTTTGCCTGTCATCACAGATTTCACTTAGTCTTTCTTCTATTTCCATAGGCAATTCACTTGAACTACATGCTGATGTTGAAGGACTTGGTATTTGAGAAGGAATTTGTGATGATGAAGGACCTGGTGTTGGAGAAGTACTTTTTCTCCTTCGAATTACAAATCTAGATAAAAATATAATATTGTAACCTAATGGATGCAAATTATTATAAAATAATAATGTACCTGTCCATTGTTATATCAAAACGGATTGATTCAGTAACAAATAAAATAAATAACACACTAACACTACCAAATAAATAACTAACAAAACAAATAAACACTAACAAAGAACAAATAAATAATAAACTCAAAAATATACTGGTATAATACTACTAAATATTTAAATTTCAAACGTGATTTCAAATCAAACAAAACATAAACAAAAAATAAAATGTCAACTCTCAACTTAAAATGTTACGTCACTCACGTCAGTTGTCAACCGAAACGTTCCAAGCGAATTCGAAACTAGAAACCATAGAGAAATATAAGTTACTTTATGCTAGAAACTAATAGCTGCACACAACGTCACGTTGGCAGGTTTTGAAATGCAGGTCGCTAGGAGTATGATCTGAATTAAACCCTCTGCTCCAAGCAACCTGCATTTCAAATCTACGCATCGCGTACCACCGTTCGTCTAAAAATATGTACGTGGGTTTAAGTTTGGGTTTGAGATGTAAGAATTGTATATTTTTTCTTGCAATTGTACCTATGTACTCCTTGACTATCAAATGTACCCAAAATAGTACAATTGTACCTATTGTAACAACACTGATTATTTTACTACAATAAACCTCCAATAAATATTCTGTTGGCCTGTGAAATCGAACTTTTTGTATCGCAAAAGCTTTGGCAAAAGTATGCAAGTCTGAACAGGTCCATAAGTTACTATGATAATTCTGTATCCCGGATACTCCTTCGTTGCCGGGCGGCTGAAAATTCCACATTCAAAAATTCGGCCGCACGATACTGTATGCGTCGCCGAATGCCATGTGTAAGGTACAATTTAATTACATGCTTTTTCTGTATCTGAGATACGCGCGTCTGGGATACAGCGTCCTCGTCTGAAAGAGGTCTTAAGGTACATTCAGGCTGAGAGGGCCGAGCGTCGCTTCGCGTTTGCATCGCGTCCGCGTGTCGAAATGGAATCAATTCACTTAACTTAAATTAGACCGTTCAGGCAGACAGCGTCGCGTTTGGCGTTGCGCTAGCGTCCGCTGAACCTCGGGGTTCGAGTTCAATGGGGCGGACGCGACGCTCTCAGCCTGAATGTACCTTTACTATTTGGAAAGGCTGCCAAGTACTAAATAAACAAATATAAAAAACAATCAATAAATATATCTGATTTCAGCAATTCTAAAGTTGACAAACTGAAAATGATGCATCTTCGAAGAAAAATGTTTGTGACATACTATTCAAAAAGACTTCCAAATACTAAATAAACAAATATTTTTTACATAACTGATTTCAAGTAAACGAAAGTAGTCCTGATTTCAGCTATTCTAAAGTTGATAAACTCGAAACGGATGCATTTCCGCAGATTTTTTTTTGACATACTATTCGAAAAAGCTTCCAAATACTAAATAAACAAATATTTCATACATAACTGATTTCAAGTAAACGAAACTTGAGCCATTTTGCTGTATTAAAAATCAATTTTTTTAAACTTTAGCAAAAAATAACTAAAAAAATCGGTACTTTACTTTGATAGTCAACGTGTACCTTAGTTACAGCAACGCGTAGACGGGTCTGCTAATAAACTATATGTTTACTAGCGTGTACCCGCGACTTCATTCGCGTCGAATTAATCATTTGTAATGGTGAGGATAAAGCCAAGCAAGAATTTCCAGTAACATATAAACTGGATAAAATTTTCTCACATTTATGTCAGCATGAGAAAAAACAATATGGCGATATTACTATATAACTTCGTAATATTTGCGGGGTAATTTCATCTCGTTGGAATTTGACTTTCGAAAAATCCGTTTGCCAAAAATAAGCTTTTTACGTCAAGCAGTTTAAGCAGAATCGTGGTTAATCAATTACCCAACTTTTTGGAACACCCTGTATGATTTTTTAAAAAATTTCAAAATATGGAAAAAAACAAAATAAATTATGCGTGTCCAAGCGTTTTCCCAAAAGACTAACGGTTTTTGAAATAACAAATATTGTAATATTTGAAGGGCGTTTTCACCCTCTTGGAATTTGAGATTCGAGAAACCCCTCCTTATCGAACCTCTACACCTCACAGTCGATACGTTTGCCAAAAATCAGCTTTAAACGTCAAGCAGTTTAAGCAGAATCGTGATACTCATTGGTTATATTTTATGAAATACCCTGTATACATTTTTAAAAAATCTTAAAATATGTAAAACAACAAAATAAAATATACGTGTTTAAGAGTTTTTCCGAAAAACTCACCGGTTTTTAAATAAAAAATATTCTAATATTTGAGGGGTGGTTTCACCCCCTTAGAATTCGAGTTTCGAAAAATCCCTTCTTATCGAACCCCTACACCCTACAGTCAGTCCGTTTTCCAAAAATCGGCTTTTTACGTTAAGCGCTTTAAGCAAGATCGTGATTAATCAATGACCAGATTTTTCGAAACACCCTGTATACATTTTTAAAAAATCTTAAAATATGTAAAAAAACGAAATAAAATATACGTGTTTAAGCGTTTTTTCGGAAACTTGACCGTTTTTTAAATAAAAAATATTGTAATATTTGAGGGGTGGTTTCACCCCCTTGGAATTTGAGATTCGAGAAACCCCTCCTTATCGAACCTCTACACCCCACACTCAATCCGTTTACCAAAAATCAGCTTTAAACGTCATCGCCAAGCAGTTTAAGCAGAATCGTGATTACTCATTGGTCATATTTTATGAAACACCCTGTATATTTTTTTAAAAAATCTTAAAATATGTAAAACAACAAAATAAAATATACGTGTTTAAGAGTTTTTCCGAAAAACTCACTGGTTTTTAAATAAAAAATATTCTAATATTTGAGGGGTGGTTTCACCCCCTTAGAATTCGAGTTTCGAAAAATCCCTTCTTATCGAACCTCTACACCCTAAAGTCAATCCGTTTTCCAAAAATCAGCTTTTTACGTCAAGCGCTTTAAGCAGGATCGTGATTAATCAATGACCAGATTTTTCGAAACACCCTGTATACATTTTTAAAAATTCTTAAAATATGTAAAAAAACAAAATAAACTATACGTGTTTAAACGTTTTTTCGGAAACTTGACCGTTTTTTAAATAAAAAATATTATAATATTTGAGGGGTGATTTCACAAATAGATTAATAAACTACAAAATTATTTATACCAGAGTACTAGTCAGTGCTAAAATATAATTATAAAGATGCATCAAAACTATGTTGGTTATAGAATACGGGATGTTCCGTTTGAAATAGTGAATAAAATACTACAATATAATTATCAGAATAGCAAGTTAAAATAATTTGATATTAAATTGCAGAATTCTAATATTTCCATACTGTCAGATAGTTGAGTAGGTATAGGTAAATTATTATAAAACCAAAAAAATATATTATTTCCACACTCTGTGTCATCGAAGCACATACATCTTCTACGTGTCATCATCAATTTCACAGATCATTATTTTAACGACTCTTTTTTATTGTCGTAATGCATTAAAGGTTAGACCATCAGTTATTAAAAATCCTGGAACATCATCTTCTTTTTTAACGCGGTAAGTAATCTGCGTTTACTAAAATAGCAATTTATATGCATAGAATAGCACGGGTAAACAATAATGCCGTAAGATATTATTATGCAATACATATTTATAGAATGGAAAATTTAAAAAAAATATCTGTTTCATCTCCTGTCTTTGGCATCAATTTTAAAATTAACAAGTTTAGTCATATACACATTACAATTATTTAACATATTTTAAGGTAAATTTAGTTATTTATATTAATGACATTCTTGTTATTCAATGTCAAAATTTCACAGCCGTGTGTGATGATTGGCAGTTTCTCAGACAAATAATATAAATTATAAATAATAAAATAATATAATATAGAGTTAAAACTTACTGTACAGGGTGGGTCAAATTCGAGGCTTTTAAATGGAAACATCCTTTTCTATAGGAAATAGACGAAAACTAATATCGGTGTCTGGAGCTCAATTTTCATCAAAAACATGATGGTGAAAACCGCACATCAATATCTGTTACCGTTTCGGAGTTACGGGGTGTTTTTCAAAAATGTGCATTTTTAATGAATCGCTGTAACTTTTTTGCTATGGACAATTTTGTATTTCTATGAAAACATTTCCAAAGCACCTTTTTATGTAGAATTTAATGGTTTAAGTATAATTTTTTAAAATTAATAATTTAAGAGTTATCAACAGAATAATTGATGTTTTATTTGGGACACCCCCTATATTTTTAATTAACTGAAAAGAATTTAAAATTACCTTTCCAAAAATATAGCACACATGATATTTTATTATAATCCCCTTCGAAATACATCATCAATTTCACGGATGATTATTTTAACGACTCTTTTTTATTGTCGTAATGCATTAAAGGTTAGACCATCAGTTATTAAAAATCCTGGAACATCATCTTCTTTTTTTAACGCGGTAAGTAATCTGCGTTTACTAAAATAGCAATTTATATGCATAGAATAGCACGGGTAAACAATA